CCCCTCTCGAACAAACGCGTTTACCAGTGCAATTATTTTCTTTAGGTACTTCATTGTACTTCACAACATTTTTTCAAAAAAGAAGAATTATTGTTATCAAAATATTATAAGCCGTTTAAACGTGGAATCACTTAATTTATTATTCTCCGTCGCCACAATGCCCCGACCCCATTGGACAGGCATTTTTTTACATCAATTGTTTACTATTATAAGCGTTTTCCATTCTATCATAAAAAAAAGGTTTTTTTCAAACTGCCGGTGCTGACTGTTATTGAAAGATAGAGCTTTTAAGACACTGAAAAGGTCAATGAAGCGCACACATTAATAGCAAATAGGGGACATTTTAGGGTATAAACGTGTGCGCAAACGTTTCTGAAATGTGATATCTAAAACACCAACCATTAGAAAAGGTAAACAACTTGACTTGAAAAAGTTGTACTCTACATATTTTATCTGCTTTGGTAAACTGAAACTTTATAGGTAGGTGTCGCGGTATGTCACAGATTTTAGGAATTAGATCATTCACCAAACAAACTACCTAAGTTTATTTGCTTTGATAAATTTATTTAGAAATCAATTACTAATTATCCATTCAGTCTAATATGTATAAAGCCCTTTTTACACGATAATAGTTATTTTAGTGATACCAGTATACCATAGTTACTATAATCGCGTGAAAAAGGTGTAACAATGAATATAATGAAAAAGTATAAAATATATAAAAATATTACCCTATTTGATGTATTGCCCTTAAACGGCTAGTATATCTCGTCCGCGTTAATGTTCTATCTTGGTCTTCTTGGATCTGATTATTATATTTATAAGTCATTAGTTGATTACTATTGATAATAAATACATTTTATTTGTAGTTAATAGTAAAACAAAGTTACATACTAGGTTGGTGTTTTGAAAACCAAAAGTGGTTTCTTAACTTGTGTGGAGCTTCGTGCGCATTCGGTCGGGTATAGTATATAATGTAACCACGTCTGTTTATAAATATACTCACCGAGCAATACAATTAATATTATGCAGTCCGTTCATAGCTTTCCTTATTATTGGTCAGACCGACATAACCTATCTCGTAACTACCCTTAAATGGTCACAATCCCTATAGTGACTTCAGATGCTCGTTTGACCACCAAGACGTCGCAGCTGGGAATTATTGACTCAGCTGCATTGAGGTAAAATGATTTTGTAGTGTCATTATAGTTAAAAAAACCGGTTCAACGGCCTCAAAACAGGTTCACCCGTAAATACTCGGTATTCATTTCCGATCGATCAACTATACTTTTTATTTTTTTATAACCCAAAAACTAATAATACCTAACCCTTTGTTTGTGTTGTCATTATATCCGCGGGATGTATATATTTTAATAGGATGGTAGCTGTTTATGTGTATTCTTGTTTTGTTATAAAGTGTGGCGTGTGGTGTGTTTGTGTAGAAAAATTTAGATGATAGTTAGGTCTAAAGTGATTTCAATTACAGTTCTGCAAATTTATGAAATAGCAACATACTATATGGTATTGGTATTAGAAACTTTTCGGAAACTAATAATAATGAAAAATAAAAATGTATTAATAGTGTAATTTAACTGAGTTTTACTTATTTGCATATTGTGGAGTTAAAAAACCATGTACTACATAATATCATTACTATCATCTGTGCATAGTGATTACAATCTGTTAAAAGGATTGTACTTTTTTCCCTCAAACCAAAACCGTTTAATATAAACGATTTTCAATATATATTTTTTTTTTTTAATTACACTTGGTAACTTTTTTACCAAGACTAAATATTATGTTTTTGGGCTACTTACACCAAAGATATTTGCTGGTTTCCACGACGGGTCACTATTGCTACGTGACGTTCAATACAGATAAATACTTGTGTTCACTTTTATATTCATATATACATATCTGTGGTTAGTAATAAAATAGTGTTGTTCGTTTTTCGAATAATTTTTCTGTTTGTCAAACACAATAGTGTCGCGATTCAATGTTTTTGCATGGAGCGTAGCAAGTAAGTAAAACTGCTGTTTCAATGTATACTTGGTTCATTTTTAAACAAAATAGATAGAGTGCGTACACCGAGGACTGTCAAGCGAGAGACCAAAGCACGTACCGAAGACAAAACGCGTTACTGTAATGTTTAGTATGTTACTTATTGGTCTTAGACTTGCATACTTTGCTTCTCCAGGGAAGAACAGTGTGTATACATTCAAGACAATGGAGGCGCAATGGTAGGTCGTCACATCTTAAGTGTCATATACTGACACTTCTAAATTGTGTAATAGTAATTTTCAATAGCCATCGGAACAAATTTGGATGACGGAAGACATGGGCAACGTCTTAATGTGGAAACTGTACTTATAAAGTTCAACTTGTACGCCGATTGCACAATAATATTCAAGAATGGTAAGTATACATTTGAACAACTGCCGTGGACTCTATAAGCCGTAAGTGTGTTATAAACCAAATATTTTGGCACAAATACCTAATTTTCAATCATTTTTGGCGTGCGTGCGTTGTTTTGTATCTCAAGAAATATACATCGCCGCCCCGGTAGAACAATGACACAACTGCAATAATTAAAATTTTTCAGGAGAACCAAAAAACCAAATTATTTTTCACTAAAATGTTAATAATTCATAAATGTACAATTAATTATTACAACTACAGTTACGTCGTTTTTCTACCTTATGCGTTCGCTATATCTTAACACATTGAAGCATTTAGTCCATTTTATCAAATTTTGCAGTCGTGTTCTACCGGGGCGACGACATGTTCCTGTATACTTCCTATGTAGTTTATAATTTTTCTCCAGGCAAGAACAAAAAGGCCAGAGTACATACATTCAGGGGGAAAACGGGGCAATGGTGAGTCGTCACATCTTTATATGTTATGAGCTGTTTGACGGTGTATCGATTTGATTTAAAACTGTCTCGTTCAGTGTAAACCTAATCGTAATCTGTTTACCGAAATATTTTTTTATTCTGATTTAAAAATGTCTACTTGCAAACCTTTATTCTGCCATGCTTGTAAAAGGTCAAAGTTCAACAGCACGGATTGAACTCATTTATGGCATGGTGTTGTAAGAATTCTACTAATGTAAGTATTCCTAGATATTTTTTGAATAAAATTTAATTAGTCGGTCGAGTACAGCAACGGCCTATGCCAAATGTATTAAGTATTTAAGTCTTTGCCGTTCTCGTTCTATCATAGTTCGTTTGATGTAGCCCGAGATTGTCAGCCACGCATCCCTCGATTGGAGCATTTTCTCCACAAGTCCGTCCGGCACCTGACTTGCTTACTTTCCTTCTCTGAAGAAGAACCAGAGTGCATACATTCAAGGTTTATCCGGAGCTGATAAATTGATTGTTCTTATATTGAAGACGGTAAGTCAATTTTATTCATAGACATCAAACAGCTGGGTTACAGGTAGGAGAATATCATTTAAAACTGCTGTTTTAATTTATACTTGTTTATTTTTGACATTGACTTGTCTTAATGGCCACGTTTATTTTTTATATATACGGACAAGCCCAACATTGACAATATATACAGTAAGTATTTTAAAAATAACTAAACAATAACTATAGTAATTTAATTTAAAGTTTAAACGTTTTGCAGCGGTTGGCCACTAAAAAATAAGAAGTCGATTTTATTCTACACCTTCAACGAAGAAGTTATTTAATAATTCACGAAATTCGTCTATCAATTGGACATGGCGGTAGAAATAGAATGGAGTAGAAATTAAATTTAAAAAAAGTAAAAACTCACCATAAGAGAAATAACAGCTATGGCGTTCAAGCAACGAAAACAGGTAGGGACGAACAGAACATAGTCATAGTGAAGTTAAAGCTGTACTTGTCAAGTTCAATCGGGTGTTATTGTGTTAATTATTTTGGCGAAATTATCTTTGTCGGCATACAACCGCTTTGCAATTTCTTATACGTCATAATTTGATTTCCACTTCGGATCGAACACTGTCGAAACTGCAACAAATAGTAGTAGGTATAATACATTATTAATTTGATTAAAATATTAACATAAAACATAAACGTTAACATTTAATTAAAATATTTATTTTCACAGTCGTGGACTAGGCCTTCTCAGACGTTTTGAGCGACACACCAGACGTGCAAGTGAAACGTTTGGTTTGTCGGCAAAACTGTTCCAAGAGTGGAAACCACGCCAAAAAAAAAATTAGCCCGATACTCTACCTCGAGGGTGGTTTGGAAAAGAGTATATAATATTATTGTTGCACACACAAACACACCAATCATACAAGTACTCCTCTGTAAGTAAGTCGTTCAGACTTACCAGATGGCCATCCCCTATTTGTATAATAGATTTGTATACAGATTTATACCACAGGCGGGCCGTCGTTTGCTCGGTGTAACAGCTGTTGCCTATACTTGGCTCCTGTAATGGAGTAGCGTATTTATTGCTAGCCATAGCTCTTGGTATCAAATGATAACTATGTTTTATTGAATTTACTTTATCCATTGGTTTATTTAAGAAAAAAGTATCAATAAAAAAGTAACAGAAATAAACTTTTCGTTATTTAATTAAACGTTGTTTCTCTCTTTTTATTATAATTTGTTTTTTAAATTACTAATGGAAATCTATTTTTTATATTTAATGGATACCTACTATTTTTTTATTAATAAATAAATAAATACTAACAGCAGAATAATATAGTCATACGAAAAAATAATATAAGTAATTTATACAATTTTATACAAATTACAACAGTTGATAGTCGTAGAAACTATAAATACATTAAAAAAAATGAAGATAGTGTATTATACATTACGTTGGATATAATATTAGTAACGTTTTAATCTAACTGGCAGCGCTATCTGTACGAACACACACATACCATTATTATAAACTTAAGCGAAAATTTGTTTTTCCATGTAAATATCTAATTGGCTTATCGACTGATAAAAAGTGATAAGAAATTCGAGTTCACCATGAATATTATTAATTAATATTTTATTGAATTAAACCACTACTCACTAGGCGGTGAAATTGAGTTACGAGTACCGCCCTGGTATTACGCAATGTTTCTGGACAAATTAACTTATTAAGTTTTTTAGTTTTTAAAATAGGGTCATATATAAATAATACATCCTTTTTCTACTAGAATAAGAAATAATGTTGGGGGAATCCAACGAGTTTACAGAAATATTAAAAACCGGCTTCCCGATGTACTTGTTAATTGCTCTACCGTTATTGTTAATTATGAGCCCTGTGTGTCCGGCAAACGCAGCTCACGAATTCACAGTTAACCGTGCACAACAGTATAGTTTACAGGGCGCATCATATGGTAAGATTTGTTAAATGTTTCCTTTATTTTACTCGTGACACTTATATTTTAATTTTTACAGGCTCTAAGAGCAGTATTATTAACTTAGAAGCTAGGTCTTTGAAGACCTGGAGTAACCGTTCGAGACATTGTGTGTTCGTGTTGATGGACAATTTTACGTCGGAAGAATATGGACAGATAACTGCTGGAACAGGCGCGTTGGTACTTGTTTTACCACCAGCGCCTTATACCCAAGAGCAGCAGGATGTAAGCTTATTATATTAGTGTACAAGTTTATGTTCAGTCACATTATTTTATGCTGAAAAACTACTTTATAAGTTATAATTAATCATCATGTAGCTTAACGGGCCATGAAGGCCCAACGCTGCCATCTTAAGATGGTTTCTTGACGAATTCACTATCCGGGACGGGTAGTCAGTCCTTCGCCGGAAAGGGGGATGGCGGTTCCTTTTCACCGGGCGATTGTTTGCCCGGCAAACCGAGTGCCTGTGACCAAGTGTTGAACCGGCAATAGTGAGCGCTTACACACTACCACTTTAGACACTCGGCCACTCCTTCTCCTTGGTTATAACTAATAATAGATAAACTTATAGTATTTTTTTTATATAATTGGCTTTTCAATAGATTAAAGCATAGCAAAATAAGTCAAGGTTTTAGTGTTTTTTTCAATTTCCTGTTTTTTCTTTACATAAAAACTATAATTTTATCATATTAACGCTTCGATTACAGACCTATGTTTAGCCAAGTTGATGTGTTGTTTTTCGTTAACAGGATGAACATGCCAACTTTTTCTAGTTGGTTTATATCATACTTAACAACATTTAAATAAAATTAAACACTGTTAATTTTTTCTGTACAATACAATTCGAGGGGGGAACGACGGCCATGTGTGCATTTATCATGAGCATACACTTAAATTTTGAAGAGAAATAATATACTTCAAGGGAAAAAAAATTAAGGTGTGCTTAGATCTGCTTTTTGAATAGTAAAATTTCCTGAAGTTTTGCTATTAATATGTTGGTTATTTTTGAAAAGCTTTAAGTGCTGGTTTTTTTAGTATAGGTAATTCGAATTTACGATTAACTTCAGTAGCAAGACATACAAGTTTTAAAGTTGGGGAGACAATTTAAAAAAAAAATATTATTTCTTATTCTAATAAAAAAAAAAATGATTTTTTCGCTTTCAAATAAATAATTAGAATTTTATCTGATATGATACTTACATATTGTATTTTATTTTTAATACAGAAAATATTGGAGATAGAACAAACAGTTTTAACTTCTGATACTGGTATTCCTGTATACATCTTAACCTGGTCTAACAAAGTTGAGAGTTTGATGAAAAATATAGCAGATAGTAAGATCATTGACACTACATCTGGTTCAATTGCTAGAGGTATGAGTGCTATACATTATTATTAAACAGTCCACACCTATGTGGCTTTTCCGAGGTGGCCAAGCCGCACATTTTTTTTTGCATATCGGTTAGATGAACGATCCGATTAAAAGCTGCGTAGATGTTGACTCGTCTTAACATTATTTTAGCTTCGATGTGATTTTTTGGTATCTATTAGTTATAATAAAGTTGACGCTCTATATTTGATATATTTTAGCATTTATCGATTCTGTGACTGCAAATGCGTTCCAAATAGTTGTGACGGCAAACAAACCGATATTGCAGGAAAATGTTGCTATATCAACAATTCAGGTGAGCCTTTGTAAAGCTACTTTTTAAAATTCTATATTTTTGCATGTATTTATACTTAAATTTTAGGGTCAATTGATCGGATTTGGTTTTCGAGAAAAATTACCCAGTATTTTGATTGTCGCTCATTACGACAGTTTTGGATTGGCACCGGTAAGTCGTTAAGTTCTTTTGAGATGATATATATTTATGTACACTAATGCATTATCTTAAAATTCTAGGAGCTGTCTTACGGTGCCGATAGTAATGGTTCTGGAGCTGCTATCCTGCTGTTGTTGGCTAAGGTGTTAAGTAAAGTGTACGCGGAAAAATATCGTCCTAAATATAATATTATGTTCATATTAAGCGGCGGTGGTAAGCTTAATTATTTAGGCTCTAAAAATTGGATTGAACAACAATTTGAAAAATCAAACACATTACAAGTAAATATATAACTACTACTATGCGTAAAAAAAAAATTGACCCCATCAACAAAATATTTTTTTTAGGACGTATCCTTTGTTTTGTGTTTGGACTCTTTGGGTAGTGATAAAACCATTCATGCTCACGTATCGAAACCGCCAAAAGATGATACCAAAACGGGCAGTTTTATCAATGTAAGTATTTTTGGAAACACTGGTAATACATTCAACGTTTAAAATTGATGGTGTTTAAAACAGGAGCTCAACAAGAATTTAGGAGAAAATAGACTGAAAATTGTTCATAAAAAGATTAATCTAGGTAGTGATACGCTCGCGTGGGAGCATGAAAGATACAGTATTCGAAGATTACCAGCTTTCACTCTGTCTAGTTTAAAAGTATAACACACTTATGTATATTTTTAAACAACTGATTTTAATTATTTTCTCATTCTTTATTTTAATTTTTTTTATTAGACTCACAAGAACAATGCAAGACGTTCCATTTTAGACACTAGTTCTACCATTGATCCTAAAATCGTTTATCGCAATGCTCAAGTTATTGCTAAAGCTTTGGTATCTCATATTTACGATAATAATACCATTGACGCACCTAAGGTTGTAAGTAAAAACAATTTATTATTTAAAATTAAGTTTTAGGTATTAAATATTTTAATATATAATGTTGTCGTTTAATTGACGGTTGTAACAATGTATTAGGGTAATAGGTATTTCATTTTTTTTGCAGACCATAGATTATGAAACTCTAAGATCTACATTAGATTTATTAACTTTGCAACCGAGGTCAACACAGCTAATAGCTCAAAAAACCAATCCCCTGGTGGATGATTTATTAACGATAATGAGCAAATATTTAAAAGATGTAAACGTCTCGCATCTAACCGCAGATAAAGTTGATCCGCAGTTTTCATTTCACACGGTTACCAAAGCGACTTTACATGTCTATAGGTAAATAAAAAATTTAAGTATTTATTACTTTGTTTTACTATTATAAAATTTGTTTTTATTTTTATAATAACACTTTGATAGGTTTTTTTCATTGATTTAAACATTGTTATATTAGGTTTTTTTTATTAATTTAAAAGATCTGTAAAAAAGATATAATAATACAACTTTGTATGTAATATGTATAATATTAAATACGTGAAATTTTATATTTTTACAGGGTGAAACCGGCATTGTTTGATCTCATATATACTATAGCGATTCTCCTATACTTGACTCTAGTCTACTATTTCATTCAAGTAAATATTATAACTCAAGTACAATAAATTGTACAATGCTGTTTTGATATTTTCTTTAATACATTTTACTTACAATATTTTAGCTCTTATTTACACTATTTTTTTTACAGTTTGTGCCAATAGTATATGGATGGTATGCCGGTACTGTCAAAATGGAACCAGTTGTCGTTGCACCAAAGAAAAATGTACGGAAGGAGAAATATAAATAGTTAAATAAAAACTTTTCGGTGATTTATTAGTGTTATTTTAATGTTTTTCATTGCTCAAAATTATTAGTTTCTTTTTTTATGGATGTTCATTTTTTAGTGGTTTTAACTGAAAACTGATTTGTAGCTCTAATTTATTTATTTCTTTACTAATGATTTTTTTTGTACTTCATCCCTGTCATCGTTCCCAGTTCTGCTAAATAGTTTTACATACAAATTATATTTATCGTATTATGTCCTTTACGATAAACCTTAGCATTTGATTATTTTTTTTGTTCAACAATTTTATAGATAATGTTGTATAAACTTTTGTATATTAAATCATAGAAATTAATTACAGCTGTAAAACTTCATAACAATTATTGTAACATCGTATTATGATTGATGATTTTTTTCTTTCTATTTTTGTGTTCATTTTTTGATCTTAAAGTTAAAACAATAATAGTTTCAATTGTAGGATTGTAATATTATGTAGGTTCAGGCTTGAATTATTCGATGTATGTTGTCAGTTATAAAAAATAGTCATTCTACAATAAAGGAATAATTTGGTGTTGGAATGATAAATATTATGTTGATTTTTAATTCAATGTACCTTCTAACATTATTATTTTATCATATATCCATTTCGAGTTAGGGGATCTTACAGTCCCATTGTTTTAATATATATTTTAATGTAGAAATTAAAGAGTGCTTCAAAAACAGATTAGCGAAAGCCATAAACACTATGTAATTAAAAAACCTTAGTTTAATTTGCCGGTTTTTTTTTATGATATTGTTTTGCAATAACCAGATATATCGGAAACGCAAATTATGGACAAATAGAATGAAAACAAACTAGCCAACATTTTAGGTAAAAATTTGTTATTTTCAGAAAAAAATCTCTTTTATTAATTTTTAATTCCAAATCACTATTAAATCTAAACAAATCTTTTAATAATAAAATCCGAGATGATTAAACTATAAGAGATAGAAAGAGCTTGTCAAGGATACAAAGTATGAAAAATGTAAATAATTAAAAATAAATTATTTAAGCTTTTTACACTTTTGCTATTTTTTTTCCAATACCAGATACCTAAAACCAATGAACGAATATTGTTGTTTAGAGTCTTATTAGAATCACCTTGCAATGTAGAAGTGAAGTAAAGAGTTGAAAACTTAATCTAATATAGTTCATTCACTACAGAGCTTTAACGGTGTGTATCATTAATATATATATAAAAAGTTGAAAAATATTCATAAATATATATAACATTTTTTAAAAGTAATTCTCCATTGAAAATCAAGATTATTTAGACAAAATTATAAGATTGAAACACAGCACAACTTATCTCTGCCTCTCTCTCACATATCATAGTAACATTAGGTATCTATGCGCAGTCTATTTAATAAAATGTCTTTGGTGTACACGCAATTTTTTAGCGTTAAAACATACCTAAGCAGAATGCGTTTTAATCTTAATATCAGTTTACGTTAAAGCGCATTTTCATGTGAACCAGTTGGCGCCTTGCAAACATTTTTATACCCATTAAATACTGTGCTAACTTATATGGTTAATATAGTAGCTTATTTATCAAACATTGTAAGTATATTTTAAGTGTGCTGCTTTAAACGCTTTAAACTATCAACCGTTGTACGGCAAAAACATTCGATGGGGCGACGCGGGTTCAAAGCTTTTATATGCTTACATGCAGGCCAAAAACCCTACCATCCTGTATGATGGATTGCAAGGCATCAAAAACTTTCACCAAGTATACATGACCCAAATTAAAATGGTCAAGTTGCGATTGTTATGGACTCACTTGTTGTTGGTCACCGAAGAAAACCGAACGGAAGTGAACGCTAAAATGTACGAGACGGCAAACTCTTTCGCCATGGTAACCGGTTTGAAAGACGACAAGGCCTTTGTCGCAACTATCGATTTCTTAAACGTCGAAAATCCTTCGCCAGAAGATTACCAGTCAGCTATCGAAGATATTAGATCACAACTGATTCACAACTGTTTGTTGTTTATAGGCTGCGACGCCACGAATGCCGTCGGTGAAAACGTTTCTGAGACTTTTGACGAAGTAAGCCTGTTTATTAATAAGTACTCCGCTAGGAGAACGAAAGAAGTGGAGTATAAAGACGAAGCGAAAAAGCCACTGATCGATCCCAGTGATGTACAGAAAAATCTCAAGTTAGCTGTACTGTTCTTAAAACATGTCGTATGTTTACTGAATGATGTCGACATGGATTTCATAAAATCAGTTTTAGAGTTGGCTTATACAATTCCTAAAGATTTCTGATTGCTAATATATTGTATTTGTTCAATATGGTATCCAAGAAAATTACCTAATAATTTTAAGTTCACATAAATTATATTACAGAGCACATAAGTTTATTGTGAATACACCGCCTCGTGGCTTCAATAATACATTATGATGATATTAAATGTAATATATACATACACTTAATAATTAATATACATTTTAATATTACTGTGGTATTATAAATTAATCCATACGTGTACATTCTTATTCTTGTGTTCGCCGAATATATAAGGAATAATACCAAACCATTCAAATGAAGGCGCAGTCTCTTTCCAAAGTTAGGTACTTACCAATCCGATTTGAAAAAACATTTTTTTATAACATTTGACTAACAAATTTGTAATTGTTAAAGTTGTGGTATAAACGTTTATATATTAACTTTTTTATCATCTCCTAACTGGTTTCCACCTATATGTAATGTATAACAGGGTTTGCGCGAATCTATACTATAGAAGCAGAGAATTGTAACTGTGCTTGCGTGGGAATTTTTTGATTTATCAAATATTTTTAAATTCATTAATGTTTAAAGAAAAACTATTAAACTAGTTTATTGTGTAATCAAAACATTTAAAAACGGTTAAGTACAGCGATAGTGTTTTCCTCTAGTTACTGTGAAAATTTGGTGATTTTTACAACAATTATATTCTATTTAGATGAAAAACAATTGTAATTTCCTATACAGAAATGTCAAATTACTGTGATAGTCTGACAAAAACGGAGTTTTAACAACACCGTAGAAGTATTTTTTAAGGAGTTCATGAGCGTTTTGGATTTGTCAACAACAGCGATCTCGGGTTATTTTTTACACTTGCAACAAATATTTTGCTTGCCGTTTGTCAATGCAATGTTAACATGTTTCTTTAAACACAATAATAAAATAACTACAATGATAAAATTGAAATCTAAGAAAATATTATTCACATACGTGTTTGCAAACAGCGGATTAGAATAAAAACATTAGACAATTTAAAAAAAATGTAATCGCAGTACAGGTTTTGTAGAACATAATAGTATATTTTATAAGCGTGTACCCAATATAGTAGTGTAATACCTAATATAAAGAGGTTTTTTTTTTTTTGGAAAAATGAACACGTACTTCATTTTTTTACTTTTAATCCTATATTCGAAAGTTTACAGCGAAGAACTAATATCATTAGCGGCTAAATTGGACCGAGAGGACATCGTCAAAATCTTAAATGACAAAGAAGTAAAATGGCGTCAAGTTTTAAATCAAAGTATTTTATACAGCGATAAATATCATGCTCTACAAGTTTACATTGAGAACAATGACCATACTACCGGTAAAATAGACGAATTTAATGTCCTCGGCGTTCTACAGAAATTCGACGAAGATAATGATTGGGATAAGAAGATAAGTATCGATGATATACGTGGCCTAATTCAAGACGCTACCAAATGTGCCGGTTTGACGAATACTAACTTGTTTGCAATGTTAATACTCAACGACTTTCTACCATTCTTGCATGTTTTGATCGACAGAAATAAACCGTTCACAATAAATGATTTTTTCGGTCTAACTCTAGATGAAAAAGATGCGTCTGAGGAAAAAATCAACGAGGGCTGTGATCACGACCCTGAAATTCTGAGTTTACTGCCTAAATTGGACAAACATAAAGAAAATTGTGAAACTTCAGAAGCTAAAAATATGGGGAAAAACACAATAATCCGCTCAAAAGTCTACGATAAATATCATAATATGAATTTCAGTATAATAACAGAACAGGGTAGTATTAAATTAAATGGAATGGGCAAGTTACTCGAAAATAAATTGGAAATTAATTCTACATGGAAAAGAATACTACGCAATAGAACTTCCCTAGATATTAGTTACCGTATTAATCAAATGGAATTTAATTCAGCATTTAATCCTCGTGGGACGGTCAACCCCGTTGTCGTCAATTTGTACGAGATTATACTTGTTCTTATTTTTACAATACAAATCACTGACGCAAAATTGGAGAAAACTTGCGTGACTCATGGTGGCTGTTTTGTAAAAAAATACAAATCCTTGACTGAAGAACTCGGTTATGAATTCGACCAGTTTATCGAGGATTTAAATGAAAATAAAATGACTGATTCTAAACGGAACTTGTATACCAATTTGTTGGCACAGATGGCCGATACATTAAATAACATTGTTAAGAAATGTGATAAACTAGCTGACGTTAGTCCTTGCACCCCATTTTTCATACAACAAGCTAGTTTTGAAGACATAAATACCACAGTTTGTTTGGACATTACGCATGACAAAGAAGCAGAAGATTATAGGTAATATACATAGAAAAATATCCTACCGTGTATTTTTTTACTGTAAAAGTAAAAAAAAAATCGTATAGTTTAATAAAAAGTTTTATTAAACTATACGATTTTTTTTTTATTGAGCACTTAGGTATAATAGACTTATAACCACTTTACCCATACAGCATAACAATGACACGTATAAAAATGATTTTTTTTTTTTTGGGTAACTTTAGTTCCAATTCTTAAGTTTAATATAATTAGAAAAAAATATTAAAATAACTAATTTTTTCATCTCAGTTATAGTATTGAAAATATTTTTCTCGCATATTTAGTTGTTTTTTATTTTCTATTCGAAATGTACAAAAAAAAACCGTTTGCCTACTAAAAACCTATACTTGTTTGCTAGACTAATTTTCCATCGAACATTCTTATAATGAAATACTACGCATTCCTATTATTTTATGTATGTAATTCAATTCTATTGTAACTTAATAAACTTATTTTTTTTTAATTTCATAAGTAGTACACTTTATATAATAGATTGTATCAAGTACACAAATCATCTATAGGTATTAACTATTAATGTCAAATACTATTTTTCATTATTTTATTATTTTCAGTTGTTTCAAGAATGCAACGATCCGGAAATTATCATTCAGCACTGCTACTGGAACTATTTCTGACATTGAAGATTCTGACAAAGAAGAATCTAATAATAAAGATTCTGACGATATAGAAGCTTCTGGTTTTTATTATGATTTTAAAGAAACAGTCGAAGTCAATTTATCTTAATGTAATGATATAATATTTTAAAGATTATAATTTTTATACTTCTTTATAAAAATGATAATTTTTAGCTATTATCATAATAAATTTTAACATTACAGACGTTTATATATCATCTTAAAATAGAATATGAATGTTAAAAATAATTATTATTTTTAAAAGTAATAAGATTTAAACATTTAATCTTTACATTCCTTAAAATATAAAATTATTACATTATAATAAATAATGTAGTGTACAATATTATATTAATTATTATACAATCATTTCCAAAATAATTTATTTTGTTTTATTAATGCACTAAAACCGGTACAATAAAGACACTCCATGCAAAAATGTTTACAGCTACCTTTGTTAACTATAATTGAATAATAATTTGAAACTTATTTGCAATTTGGTTTGCGTACATTATTAAAATAATACTAATTATTATTATTTATTATAACAAAATGAATGGTTAAAAATATATATTTACATATAATTAAGCATATTGTAGTATTAGCCAGAGGTTGAGTTATCCCCGATAATCAGTGTACACAATGTGTACAATTTTTGATGAACTTAAAACATTTCTGAGTAATTTAAGGTATCTTTAGAAATGTCTAAAGATGACTAAAGTTATTACCCTATTCTACTAAAATTGTAAGGTTACTGATTACCTGTTTAGACAGAATTTGGATTGTATGTGTTAGTTTAATTACCATTATTCTTCGCTACTGGAATTTTGTTTGTATTTTGTGTTATTTATGACAAGACCACCCGCAGTTGATTTCCAAGTTTGACAAAAAACAAATATATATTAACCCTGTGATCAGATTTAATAGTTTTTTTTTTAACGAAATCTCAATAAATAATAGTTTTCTTTACTCTTCTTACCATACTTTCACACCTAAAAACGGACTATAAAATATCCCATTTAAATTAAAATATATACTTTAGGGGGTATTTTTTTCACGTGAAAGTCGCCATGCCTCTTAAAACGGGTGGTTGCACGTTTTTTTTTTATTAAAACACAAATATATAGTTTGTATGAGAGAAAAATTATTTTTAAATCGAATTTTTCCAAAGAAATTCGTTAACTGATGGATCGCTTTTGGCCACCGATGATCTCTGTATAATATCAATATAAATATAGCTAAATTAAAACACAAATATTATATCGTTTGTCGCATAACATTTTACCATGTTCGGACAGATAATCAGTAAGTAGCTAGGGAAGGTATCCACTACCTTTTTAAACAATTGATTTATTTCACTGAACATTTGGTGTTCAATTATTTGTTCGTGTTTAATTCATTTTTGTGGTAACAGTTACATATAAACTAGTGTTCTTTAATATTGCAAAATAAAGCGTTAACACATCGAATTCGTTACAGAGACTCTTAAAGTCAGAAATGGATTTGGGTATTACCTTTACCTATTAGAGACAATGCGCCCATTACACCTGTGATGTTAAAATGCCTATACTTTACGCCTTGTAAAATTTGACAATTTTACACTTTTTTTTCTTTAAATCGATACCTTTTAGTGCCTTGACTACCTACTAGATGTCGATATCAAACATTACAATCTTTTATTTTGTTCGATTAACTAAATGTACAAATGTAAAAAAATGTCCTCCAATATTTTTGGTTTTCAATACAGTATTGAAATGGTTGCTGCCACAAAAATAAAGTTTAATTATTTATCATTACATCTTACTGAAAAGTACTAATCACCTTTCAAAATTCAACCCCAATTTATTTGTAAGCGCAAAGCAACTACAGGAAGCATTTAAATAAAATGGGTGATTTTTTATATTTATTTTTACTTCATTTAATTAATACAGCTGTTCCTTCCTATAAATTTAGAAATCGACTGATCTGCCCCATAAACAGGACAACCTTATGAACCTCATGTAATAATATCAATAGTATGATACTTTTCACACTACTGTAGTAATATTATTAGAGATAGCCTTTTAACTATCTATTATTTATAGCTTTTTTAATTGAAAATTATATATAAATTCTCCACTTTGTTAAAAAAAATTAAACGTAGATCACATTACGTTTAATTTGTTTTCTTTTATTGATGAAAAATGTCATCAATCAATAAGTATTTTTAAGTTACTAGAAAGCTCTTACCCCTGTAGACCCTACAATGTAAATATTTTTCAAATATTTGTTGACTGTTGGTTCATTTATAAGTACCTAGCAATCTATAAATTTACTGCGAACAAAGTATAATTTTTCATTAACAACGGAAAAAGTTCGACAACAAATTTTTGAGAAAATAATATATTATGATTTATGTCATAGACACGCTCTTGATTATGTCTACTTTTTTTTTTTTGTATCACCCTCACTGAGTGGTAATGTTTTGGCTTTGCTTCCCTCCTAGCCCGACGTCGTTTATTCACGACAAAATACCAACTAAATAATAATATTTACAAAAAGACAGGGTTTTCCGCGCGCGATTATATCTACTTGTACAGTGTTTTTATAGAACCGAAAATGTGTGCGATTGGTTCTAGGGTGGGTGTAAATAGACAGATTTTACCCCCAAAACTGAAAAATTATGGTTTTTTATTTTTTTTAAAATATTTTTTAGCCAATTAAAGAAAAATGTAAAACAAATGTTTTCCTTTAATGTAATAATAAAACCAGACAAAAATGGTTTATAATTGCAACAAAAAAAAAAAACCCTAAATTTTTCTGTAAGGTATTCGGTTTTAATAAATGCCGTTAAGAAGTCTAGTAATTTGCTTTTAATATTGTATACGTGTTCATTTATTATTTGTAAATTAATACTAGATACGACCGTTGTTTTTAATAATTTTAATTTAGTTGTTAAATTAAAAAACGTCATAGATTGTGGAACACTTGTATACACAACAATATATTAAATACCAATATGAATCACAGTAAATACATATGCACCAGTGACGATACCTTTTTTTTCTTTACGTTAAAGAAAATGACCATTGGGCTTTTTTGCATTATTGTTCGCTTACATACTATAAAAATTAAAATATCATATCTAGGGTCAAGTGGGATAAATGTAAACGAACGGGGCAAATGTAAATGAATTTTTTCTTTTTTAGAAATAACAAAGTGTTCGTATTTTATTTAATTTTTTATGGTATACTAACATCTTAAAAGACAGTTGATCTTGACACCTCCTTTACACCAATCCAACAAAGTCAACCCAAAACAAATCCTTGCCTTTTACCACTAAATATAAATGCATTAATACATTTTTCATAATTTTGGGATTTATTAATACATTATTATTTAATATTTAAATAATGATATCAACAAAATAATTTCGTTTACTTTCCATTTAGGTTCCAATAATATGTATATATATAATAATATACTCAACAAAATTTTAATTTTAATTATTGAATTCAATATTTTTAGTATTCAGGTACTAGGTATTCTGATATATAACAATTAGAATGATATACATAGTTAAATTTAATTCCCTCCTTTCTACCCACCCCCTTGATTGGTGTGTTGTTATTCTCATGACAAAATAAATAGGTAGGTATGATATCAACTGTCGTGATACGCAGTTTCAGCGATCTTGCTTTTCTCCAAACGTTATCAGGCGGTAGTAATCAATATTCATGCTATCACTTACATGTGTTCCGTGAGATGACATTATGTTAAAATAATTTATTTTTAATTAAAATTATAAATCTAATAGTTATTCCATTGATTTTTCCTAATAGACAAAAAACATTTCTTATAGAGTTATGTCTTTAATATCACACATTGTGTAGTTAATGCTCCAATGTATAAAAGCCAAGGAATGAGATTATAACAATATACATATTTTATAGATCTTTTCACAATCTAACCCCTGTGGGTTGGGGTTAAGAATATATATACAGTAACTCCTGCTAATTAAGGGCGCTTAAAAGGACGTAGCGGTAAGACACAGTAACTACTACTACAGCAGCTTGTACATCTCACAAAACGTAATGGCTCATCAACTGTGATGCAAAAAGCAAGAGAGAACTACCTACTGTATTCATTTCCTTAGAATAAGGATAAACTAAACTATGTTGGTTGCAGGAAAACGCTTTTACAAGTAATTGAAAGAAGTCTTTTTTGCATAATTTAACCTTTCTATGTTATGCCTGTGTATGATTTAAAATATATACATGAATACATATTTATTATATATTTAATTGTATAAAAAACTATGTTTTCAGCAGAGCCAAGCTTAAATACTTAGGGTTAGTGCTAACT